TCTGGAGGCTTTTCCTTGTTTGATAAATATATGGAAAAGGGAAAATATTGGGGAAGGGGTGTCAAATTCTTCCTTCAGAAGGAATGAGATGGGAATGAGAAAGAGGGAGGCAGGGAAGGAGGGAGAGAGGAAAACAGGGAGGAGGGAGGGAGATTGGAATGAAAGAGAGGGAGAGTTTGAAGGAAGTTCTGCCTTAGCACTTGGTCACCAGCAGCCCTGCCATTGACTTTGCTTGTCAAAAGCTTGCAAAAGGGGATCACATGACCTTGAAACACTGTGACCATCATAAATATGAATCAGTTGCCAAGCATCCAAATATAAATCACATGACCCTGGGAATGCTGCAACAGTCATAAGTGTGAAAAATGGTCATAAGTCACTTCAGTGCCTCATAAGTCACTTCAGTGCCATTGTAACTTTGAACAATCACTAAGCAAATTGTTGTAAGTTGAGGACTACCTGTACTTTATCACCTTTTTCCTTTTTTTTGGTCAAGTTTTTGACACCTTGCTAGGTGGTACTTGAATACTGCCATATCCTAAAAGTGGTGCAATCAGTGAAAAGGTTGAAAAGCCATGCTTTAGATAGTCAATGTGAATGTGAGGTACAAGCATTCTGCTACAGGATAAATTGCCTTCCTGATTATAAGCAATAATCAGCACTTGAATTGTAAACTGAAAACTAACTGGAGATTAAAATTAGATTTTTTTTTAAAAAAATAACAACTGCTGTAATATAGCAAATATTGGAAACAATGAAGAATCCTTATTTGCTTGAGTTTTAGAATACTCTTCAAAAATGTTCAACAAGAATGCATTACAATCCATTCAGGAAATAAGGACATTTCCCAGATGTATATGATGCAGGAATGGAACAGCCATATTGCAATCCTACCTGAGCTAAAGTTTGTGATCAGTTTTTCCCAGTCTTCTGAAACTGCAAATATAGTATTGACTAAATATCCTAATTTGTCTTGCAGAGCCTCTTTTCCTTAGCCTGGATCATATTTGTTCTTGACCAATATACCACTTCTATCTTGCTTGGATTAAATCTCAATTTGTAAAGCCACTTTCAATCTATTCTGAATGAAATCAGACATCAATCAACACACCTAAAATCTCTTAATCATTTTAAAATATATAGAGTAACATCTCTATATAACTGGCCCTTATATTAATGACTGAACTCCAGTTTAGAGATAGCTACTCCACTGATTTCATATAGATGCTAAATAGTTGAAATGATTTTGATTATTATCCCAGGATAGCACATATGTTTAAGGCCTTGAGGATGGGCAGTTGAGTTTAACTCAACACACTAGTTTGAAGTAGCTAGAGAAAATTAAAACAACTGTAAAATGTTGTTCCTTTTACCCTCTTTGCAAGATGTCCTTGAAGAATACCATGATTAGTTGAGCTGATTTCTATAGAATGCAAGAGATTCTATAGAATATGGCACAAAATTGTGCTTTTAAAAAAACTGTTTCAAAATATGAACTGGTCATAATTTATTCTTACTGGTCTGTATCTTTTATGATTAGAGTAGAGTTCTCATGAAATGAATTCTTCCATGTGGCATAATGTCATAATTAAAATATGGGTGGAATGTTGCGCATAGCCTCAAATGAATGAAACCAGAATACTAGGCCTCAGTTTTTTCCTGAACCTTCCTGTGATTATTAAATGATTACTACTTCATGTCATATAAAAACTGAGAAGAAAGAAATGAAATTATATCACCAAATTACTTTTGTTTAGTCTGCTCCATTTGGTTTTGATTGATAAGCTCATATAAAGCAAGTTATACCAGTAACAGTGTAACAACACTCTACATCCACCTACGCCTACATGTTATTTTAAGATTAAGATGATCCAAAACCCTCTTCATAGGATTTGAATCAGTGAGCTAACATACATTAATAGATATAAGATTTAATTGTACACCTGTTAAAAAGCACACCATCCAATCAGGGACTAGCATGTTTAAGACGGGTGGGGGAAGACATTAGAGATAACTGACATCCAAAATTATAATGAATTGGCCCAAATCATTATGATTAAAATCATTATTGGTGAGTTGACTTTGCTTAATAAAGAAATTAACAGGGCTTACAGGAGCAAGCTTCAAATACTGTATATCATAAAGAGAAGATGGAGTTACTTGTTTTTTGCATGACTAAAACAAAATGGGATTTCAATTAAATCTTAAGTATTTCCGTTGATAAGAGCTGCTCAACATTAAAATATCTCTCAGGAAATTATGGTTTCTCCTCAATTAGCAAAGTTTGGGATGCTGTAGTGGCAACTTATATTGCAGTTTCTGCTCTCAACTCTCCTCCAGTTATGTTAGTATATGGCTGTTGTGTGCAACAAAACTGATTTAACTAGGCTAAATCCTAATATAGTCTTACACTCCTGTTTTCTGGATCCACTTATTTTTGCAAGATTAATGTGATCATCAATTCAATACTTGTCATTCTACTTTTAAGTATATTTGCCACAAATATATCTAGTAGTGTTTTTCACTTATTTCTTGTACTTTCTTTAAAGTACAAGCATATTTATATTACTATGTTCTCAGAGTCTTTCTTCAGTATCTTTTCCTAACATTGTTCCTTGTTTTATAACTCTCACCTTTATGTCTCTTTCCCCCCCCAACCTATATTTTTATTTTACACCTTTGAGAATTTTTTTTCCTTCAACATCAAAACATCCCCATCCATTGTTAAAGTAGTATGGTTACTGCACAATACATCTGTATTCCTGGATGAAAACAAATGGAGAGAAAAGAGATAGAAAGCCTACACAGAAAAGGCTAAGTATCGAGTTAAAAAGTGTTGGAGTTGCACCCCATATTGCAAATTGAGATTGCATCAGATTTAATATTATGGTACACTATTAATTTGTAAAATGCCTAGGAAGTTAAGGGATTCAAGAAAAATGCTGTATTTATAAAAGCATCAGCAAATTCAAGGTGATGATCCTTAATATCATTTTTTTTTCTGCTTGTGCAGAACTAAAAGAAAATTTTATTTTGTTAAAACATGGTAAGTTTCATTGCATCTATATTTTTATAATGACCCTCCAAATCTTTAAGGATAATGACTATTAAAATATAAATCTAAACTTTTTCTCAGTTATTTACGCCGACAAGTGAAGGTCAGGTATTTTCATAATATTTGGCAGATACTAAATTAAAATAATTGGAAATAGCATGATATGAATTGTTCATAGAATCTGTATTAATCTGTTCATAGAATCTGTATTTTTGAACATGACAGTTTAAAATTTCATAACAATGTGCATCTGCATAAAACAATTCAAATACGGACAGAATCTTTTTAAAAATCAGCAACTGGAATGCATTGAGACTCAAGTCATGTCTGCTACAATTAGATTTTAAGCATTACAGCAACAGCTGCACCAGAAGCAAAAGTATTTACACAATACAAATTGTGTAAAATTGAGGCTAAAACCTTAGAATGTCAGATGTTTCCTGAGAGGGGCAAGTAGATTATCAGTTCTTGTTCACAATCCTAGCTACTGCAAGAATTCTTACATACATTATTCAGTCATGTGCAAATGTCTTATCAAAAGATTATCTTTATATTCCAAAGACTGGTGTGCAAGATTGACATGGAACAAAAAGGTCGAGCAAGACTAAACTATAGTGCAAAAGATTTAGAAATTATAACCGAAAAAATGTTATATAACTAATTACTGAAGTACTCTATTGCCAGAATATCTAGGAAGAATGCTTTCCTGTGACAGGGTTCTTTTTTGTCTTTTGTGTATAATTTTATTAAAGAATTATTTAATGTAATAAAAACCATAATAAAATAATAACAATAATAAATCTCTCTCTCTCTCTCTCTCTCTCTCTCTCTCTCTCAATATCTGTGACAGAGTTCTAGCTGTTCAGTTGTGAAGAATAGGGAAAAAAATCCAAAGGAGAAATCTACTTGACTGAACATTCCTAAAATTCAAGGCAAGCCATTTATCTATTTATGAGGGAGAAACTATTTTCAATTAACTATTAATGATAATCATGTGCAATCTCATTGGCAGAATTTTTTTTTACCACAAACTGTTGTTGCACTCCTTCAGTAGGCAAAATTCTGATTTCAGTTATGTTGGTAATATATCAGAAGTGCAAACTTGGGCCCCCACTGTTCTTATTTTACTTATCACTCACTTTACTGCATAGGAAATCTAAACAGGAATCTTAGAGAAGAACTTAGTGTCACGTATTCACTTATAGTTTTGGTTGCTACAATATAAAAAAAGATGTTGAGACTCTAGAAAGAGTGCAGAGAAAAGAAACAAAGTTGATTAGGGAACTGGAGGCTAAAACATATGAAGAACAGTTATAGAAAATGGGTATATCTAGTTTAATGAGAAGGACTGGGGTGACATGATAGCAGTCTTTGAATATTTAAGGAACTGCCACAAAGAAAGGGGGTGTGTGTCAATCTATTCTCCAAAGCACCTGAAGGCAGAACAAAAAGCAATGGATGGAAACTAATCAAGGAGACAACCAACTTAGAAATAAGGAGACATTTCCTGAAAGATAGAACAATTAATCAGTGGAATGGCACGCCTTCAGAAGTTGTGGATGCCCCATCACTGGAGGTTTTTAACCACTTGTGTGAAATGGTATAGGACAGTGATGGCGAACCTTTTAGAGACTGAGTGCCCAAACTGCAATCCAAAACCCACTTATGCATCGTCGAGCGCTGGGTGGGTGTGGCCAATCGGGTGGGCATGGCCCATTGGGTGGGCGTGGCCCATTGGGTGGGCATGGCTGCTGTGGTAACGACAGACTGGGTGGGACTAAAAAGTTCAATCAATCAATTCCAACTTTGCAAGCTCTTTTTTTTCCTGCGAGAAGTTGAAATTGACTGATTGAACCTTTTTTTTTTTTTTTGCACACGGCGGGGGAGGCCTAAAGCGAAAAGGTTTTATAAAACCCAGCTGAAGGTCTAGGACTGGAGCGATGGCACGCGTGCCCACAAAGAAGGCTCTGAGTGCCACCTCTGGCACCCGTGCCATAGGTTCGCCACCACTGGTATAGGATCTCTGACTTCCAAGATTCCTCCCAACTATGTTTTTCTGTTATATCAATTACATTTAAACATATTAACAGGACAGAATGCTGCATTTACTCAAACAACATATAATACACTTCCATTTTATTTAAAACATGTTTTGCAAGATATAAAAATATTGATCACAGTGAAATTTAAAAATTGTTTCTGGTATAAAAAAGGATTGCATACAGTATCTTTAAAAGAAAATAAATTATGTAATCATTATCTTTTTTAAAAAAAATCACAATGAAGAAAATTTAGTCTGCTTCATCAATGACAAATTATAATCTCCAAGAAGAAAATCCCAGGTTTTTTTAAAAAAAATTACTTCCCATGTGTTTCAGAGTAAAAATGTGTCTGTTTCCAATAACGTTACGTCTCTTCTGCATTGTAAATCCATACGTTAGCAGTCCAGTATTTTAAAAAGTAGAAACAGGAAAAAATGTACATCAGATGAACTGTCTTTTCTAATTGATAAGTGGTAGTTTCCAGTATGTCGGTACACAGCGACAAACTTCTTCACTATAATAGAATCCAGAATCACAGCGTTTCTTTCGAACTGTACATGGTCGTCTGTAGCAACTGAGAGTAAATGGGAAAAAAGGTATGTTGAAAAAAGGTATAATACAAGTTACATGCATTTAAAAAATGGACAGAACTATTGAAAATAGGGTAAAGTGACTTGTAGGTTTCAATTCATTTTGTTTTCAAGGATATGTTTTTATTTATTTTCTTTGTACTTGGGAATACACATTGGCCTTTGCAATTTTGCATACAACCCAAAGTTATTTACTGTTTTAACTCTGTATTAGTCACCGATATTGACACCCATTATGTCTTAATCACAATAATAGCCATCAGGAAGTGTTTAGCAATATTCCTAGATAAGCATTCTTGCTAAGAGGATGAGGAAACAGGGACTACACAATGATCTATAGCAAACTCATGCTCAGTGGCAGCATGACATTGAACATCAGTTATTCTGGCAACTGTGCTGGATAGCGACACTGCTTCCATGCCTGCTTGTGCCTCTTGGCTAGCCACTGCAGAAAACAGGACACAATATTCAATGGATTTGCTATCTCGTTTGCAGATTCTCTCTTTTATTTCTCACAAGCAGAATACATTCCAAAGACATTATTGCATCCTACAATTATTTATAACTGGAGCTGTTATTTTTATAGACACTTCACTTATAATTTGATTTTTTCCAAGGCACAGCAATCCTTTAAGTTAAGTTACTTAAAAGGAAAGGACCCTTTCAGTCACCTAGGAGCTAGATTCACACAGAGGTTTACCAAGGCAATTAAAATTTAAGACCTACATGCCAAACTCAGATAATTTTAATCTTGGATAGTTTTTAATGGATAGGCATCTTACACAAATAGAGAGTGTTTGGTCAGTATATGATTCAATGTACTGTGCAAATGTATTAATTCAGCAACAAGTTACATATATTGTGAGATCCAGTCACAGTACACATTAACATATATGGGAGGTAATTTATTAATATTTATTGTTACGCTTATGGCTTTCATTTAAGAGCACAGTTATATACATAAACTCTTAGTATTTTTTACTCTAACTTATGAAAAGTTGGGAAATCAATCAAATCCTCCTGTATTTAAGACAAAATGAAGCAATCCAATTTTAGCAATGTCGAACTTAAACTATATGACAAGTAGTTGCTTTTTTGAAACAATACTGTATAAATATTGTATATTAACAATCCAATCATTTTTTTTAAAAAAATTCTTCTTGCCATAAAACAGCAGAAATACAGGAAATCCTTGATTTACAACCTTTTATTTATTGGCCATTCAAAGTTACAACGGCACTAAAAAAGTGACACATGTCCAGTTCTTGCATTTACAACTTGCAGCATCCTATGGACACATGATAAAAATTCAGGCACTTGGCAATGGGCATGTTGCAGCATCCTGGAGTCATGTGGTCACCATCTGCAACCTCCCACATAGTTTCGAAAAGCAACTTCAATAGAGAAAGCTGTATTCACTTAACAACTGCCACGATTTGTTTAACCACCATGGCAAAAAGGCATAAAATTGGGCAGAACTCACTTAACAACTGCCTTGCTCAGTTGTGATCATAAGTCAAGGACTACCTGTAGTAAGGGTGTAAGAAAGGAGCTGGATCATAGGCAGCTATGGTAGCTAACCCCCCCTGCTAACAACTGGGCAATATAAGATCTTTCCAAAGTGATCATTAGTGTACACTATTAATACTACCAATCATAAATATTTATATCAGATTATACAAAATGAACGCTAATAAATATTTTTAAAATAAATGTATACAGCTAATATTCATATGTTCTAATTTTAATGAGCTTTTACTTTCAGGATCTATTAGTCCAAAGATTTCATTCCTAGAGAGAATGAGCAATCCTACCAATCTGAATTATTTTATTTTCATGGAAATATCTAATTACAATATCTGGACAGAAGCCATGCTAAATATATATATAGTTTGCTCACATGGATTTTTTTTGTTACATTATAACAACGGTTCTCAACCTGTGGGTTACGACCCTTTTGGGGGTCGAATGACCCTTTCACAGGGGTCGCCTAAGACCATCAGAAAACACATATTTCCAATGGTCTTAGGAACCGAGACACTGCTCCGCATCCCTCTCTGCATGGCACTTTCGCTTCCCTTCTCTCTTTCTCTCTCTCTCAGGCGGACTTACCTCCTGCAGGGCTCCTGATTGGCCCTGCGCCTGGGTGCCTCACCCCTTGGGAGAAGTGCGGCCAGGGCCTCATGGCCATGGAGCCGCCCAGGGAAGCCCTGAGATCCCTGCTGGAGGCTCTGCTGAGCGGGCCAGCCCTCCCGCAAACTGCGGCCAAGGGAGACCAGCCCCTGCGATCCCCAGCCAGCCCGACCATTGGACCTGCTGGCCAGGAAGGCGCGCCGGAGTCCAGGAAGGAAGGAAGGAGATTCAGCAAAGGTAAGAGAGGAGAGCACCTCCTGCGGTCCAGCGCTGGCAGTGGCTTCCTTGCCCTCTTCCCTTCTTCCTCCTGCTGCCCCCAAGGCAGCAAAAGGGGTGCCTGGGGGGGAGCAGCCGGGCTGGCAGAGGGACTGGCAGGGGCCATCAGATGGGCGGAGGGTGAGGCCGGGCAGTGTGGTGTCCCGGCTGGGGCAGCAGTGGCGGCGGTTTTCTCGCCCTTCTCCTCTCCTTCTTCCTCCTGCTGCCACCAAGGTGGCTCAGACAGGCGCCGGGAGGAAGAGGGGTGCCTGGGGGGAGCAGCTGGGCTGGCAGAGGGGCTGGCAGGCTGTGTGGCACCAGCCCCCACTGCGGCTCCATTGATGGACAGAGGATGAGGCTGGGCAGCGCAGAATCCTGGCGGGGGCAGCGGCTGGGCCGGGGGTGGCAGGGACCCCCGACGATGCAGCAGTGGCTGCCACTGCCACTGCAGCCACTGCCTCCCATCCTGCTCCCCCTCCCCGCCTGTTCAGCTGAGGATGCGGTGGAGGCCAGGCTGGGGGCAACGGGGACCCCCGACAATGCTGCCATAAGAGAGAGAGAGAGGAAAGAGAGAGAAACAGAGGAAAAGAGAGAGGAAAGAGAGAGAGACAAAGAGAGAGAAGAAAGAGAAAGAGAAAGAGAGGAAAGAGAGAAAAAGAGGAAAGAAAGAAAGAGAGAGGAAAGAGGGAGAGAGAGAAGAGAGGAAAGAGAAAGGAAAGAGAAAGAGAGGAAAGAGAAAGAGAGAGAGGAAAGAGAGAAACAGGAAAAGAGAGAAGAAAGAGAAAGAGAAAGAGGGAGGAAATAGAGAGAGAGAGAGAGGAAAGAGAAAGAGAAGAGAGAGAGGAAAGAGAAAGAGAGGAAAGAAAGAGATAGGAAAGAGAGAAAGAAAGAGAGAAAGGAATGGCGCTTCTCCAACCAGGCTGGGCGGAGCCGGTGGAGCGGCCTTCCTGCCCCCCTCCCCAGCCAGCTGGATGGGGGGTTGGGGGTCACCACAACATGAGGAACTGTATTAAAAGATCGTGGCATTAGGAAGGTTGAGAACCACTGCATTAGAAGAATAATGTGCATGTTCAAAGCTTATATACAGGACAATCTGAAATAGATATGAAAAGATAGTGGTAATTTATAGTGTTACTATATACATTTATTACTTTTGGTCTAGAAAGTAATAATATATTTTACTAGCCAATAATTCATGCTTACAAGATAAATATTTTATATTGGTAGATAATCTGCTTCTACAATGATTTAAAAAAAAGCTATAAACAAGTATGTCACAGCATTATAATTTGGTAAGGCTGATTTTAAACCATGTTGACCTAACATAACCTCACACTGACAGGCAAAAAGCCTCTGATGTATAATGTAGACAAAGTGTAGTCTTTGGGTGTTTTAAACATTGGCAGTGAACCAAGAGTGAGAAGTATATGCTTCAAGTTTCAACATAACTATAGTTTAAATTCTTTTAATTTTGTTCTATTTTTATACAGCATAGTATTATAATGGGCATGGCTTATAATTAATAACTCATTTACATCTTCCAGTTTGTAAATAAATATTACTTTCATATCATGGTGGATTAGAAAAAAAGTTACTATTCCTCCTTCTGTTCCAAGTTCATCTGTATTTTCCTGCCTCATTAAGTTTAATTGAGAACGGCTTCTGCATCTTATCACAGAATTGAGATTTAACTCCAGTAGCAAATACTATAACCCATATCTCAAGCAATAAAGATACTGCAGAAGGAAACCTTATTCTCAGAATAAAAGATCCAGTGCAGGTATATTTGTGAAGTTCAATTCCTTTGTCCTTCTCTTGAATCACAAAACCACATGTTTTCCTTCTGGTCAATTAATGTTACTTTGCATGTACATTGCAAAATATTATGATTTTAACTACTTCCTATTTAAAACATCCCACTTTGATTTAAGACACTATTTCAAGTGCAAAACATTTATTTTAACCTGAAATGATTAAAACATTACTTTTTGTGCTCACAACAATTGTTTTATACATATAATGAGATATTTTGCATCAAAGGGGATCTTTCACATTTCAAGTAGTTCAGATTCCATTATCTATGCTTCTAATTGTGGATTATTTTTATTGACAAATTTTAGATGAACCACACAGTACTATGTGTTTCACCCTATCCCCTAATTTTCTAAAGCATTTTTAATATATTTTTTATATTTATTATAGAATTATATGAAGAATTACAATGTATTATTAATTTATGCAACTTAGCAAATTCCTTTTAAATGACATTTTAAATATAACTTATTATACTTCCATGTATATGTAAAACATTTCCTAGGAAGCAATGGTAACCTCTAACTAGTTGACAACATTCAGCTGGTCAAATGTTTTCAGAGCTACCATGTAAGCTAATACAGCTATTCACATATGAAATGTGTCTTTAACATAGAAATATCATAAATTTAAAGTAGCCATTACATTTTTTTCCAATTCTGACCTAAGCAATAAGAATTGTAAACTCTTATTGCATTTCCCTTGCCTATTTATAAAGTGCTACAAAATTAGTGATTGTAGAATTTTACAGATCCAGATATAATGAGTAATTGGAGCCATGGAAATAAACCCCAGCAAAAATGAGACAAATTCTCTAAGACTTAATAACAAAGAGGAAACTTCTACAGTTTATAATCTACAACAGAAATTTGGCAGAATCTACTGTATATTCTAAACTATATGCAAAAGCAGTTGCAGAAGAAAAAAGAAGAAATGGCAGCACAATCAGATCTCTTCTTAAAAAATTACGAATTATGAGATTTATGAATACCTATAAAATAGGCACTTTTATTATCAACTTTCAATATCATGACTATAAGTTTAAAACATGAAAACTTACTTTTGCAAGTGCTGTTCATGAGGATTTGCTCAGCCAATAATTTGCTCAGCTGAACATACATGGAAAATGATTCAGAAGAACTGTTTTTGGCCTTGTGTAAGTGTAAAGTCTCTCTCTGTATTCGTGTAAGAAGCCTGACTTTTTAAAAGACTGCTTTGGAAAATTAATGAATAGCAGAGAAGTGCTGGACCTGCATGAGGTTTAAAGCAATTCTGGATTGTTTAGAATCCTATACAGGCCTACTGCAGATATAGTATGTGGAAATACATTACGTTATTATTATTTTTCTTATGACTTATCAGATTCATTAAATGTTTTAGAATGTTCCCAAGTTTTTGGCTTTATATAACAGATATAGCTGTGCCTTATAGGTATCTGGACAGATGCTAGAAGAGGGTTGGACAATGCTAATATAACAATTATAGTTTAAACGACATAAAGTATTGCGCCTCTTTAAAAAGTCATTTTGATTTGGTGTTTGGATCTTTTTTCAGCATCAAAGTATGCAAAAGAGTATCAATATGATATGATATACTGCATTGATTAATCAGTTGATCATATAAAATATGAAACATCAGCCACAATAAAATGAGGCAAGGTACAGTGAAGTGAGAGATAAAAATACATCAGATGAATATAAAATACAGGTTGTCCTCGACTTAACAACAATTCATTTATTGACTGTTCAAAGTTACGATGGGACTGAAAAAAGTGACTTATCACTGTTTCTCACACTTACAGTACAACCATTGCAGCATTGCCATCATCACATGATCACAATTCAGATGCTTGGCAATTGACTCATATTTGTGACAGTTGCAGTATCCTGCGGTCTTGTGATCATCTTTTGTGACCTTCTGACAAGCAAAATGAATGTGGAAGCCAGATTCACTTAACAACCATTGTTACTAACTTAACAGTTGCAGTGATTCACTTAACAACCATGGCAAGAAAAATGGTAAAATGGGACAAAACTCAATCAACAAATGTCTCACTTAGCAAAATAAATTTTGGGCTCAATTGTGGTCATGAGTCGAGAACTACTTGTAGAATAAAATCTAGTAAAGATAAAAGATAAAAGAGTAAGATAAAATAGTATAAGGCAAACATGGAAGTAGAATACAACATTACTGAATTACTGTTTCTTTACAAATTACTTCTTATGAGTTTGATAAAGAGCATCAAGCTCATAAGAATTTTTTTCAATAAAAGTAATTATGTAAAGCAAACAGTCTTGAAGCAACAAACACACTTTAGGAGCTACCCAAATAAGTTTGATTTAAAATATCACATTATTCACAAAAACTTATGTTTGCTAAGATTTTTATAGGCATTTAATGACCCCTCCCCCAACAAAGAAAATTGTGTTCTGCCAAACACATTGGTGTTCCATGTTTGTAGCAGGATTAAAGTTATATTAGAGCCAATTTGTTTTCAACAAATCGACAGTGTTATGAGGAAATCACCAAAGAATGGCAAAGACACATGAGCTGTAATCATCCTGGCCTGGCCTGCCACATCTTGTGCAAAGTTTTCTGTATAACCTGCCACACTAGCTTGACAAATTTATATGTTATACACAATTCTGAATCTCAAGTTACATCATGCCTGATGGAAATTTATAACAAAACTATCTGGCATAGATACAATCTTGGAGTGCATATTAAAGGTCACGTTAAATGGGGAAAAAAAACATGATGGATTAATGGTTCAGCCAAGACTTTTAATCTGCAGTTTCATCATCCGTAAGCACCATATAAGGATTTGTGTTCTCCCTTTAAGCTTTCTTCATTTTGAAACTTATCTTTAGGTAAGTTATTTTTTGTTATTAAGTATTTAATAAGCATATATTTTCCACTTATCAATTGGCATAATTCATCCATACCTGCCTATCATTTGATAACATTTATACATAGTAAGTATATTATCATATTGAAAACCTATATAGAACTTATCCTATGTTTACTTCCTAGTAAACATCCTACATTTTATCCTACAAGTCCACCTTCTAATAAAATAACCCAAATATGATCATAAATATTGTCAAATAATATATAACCAATGAACACATCATCTCTTTTTCTTTAACCATTTACATACTGTATGACATGTTTCATTCTGGACTAGTGACATGGTTTGCCTGCTTTTCACTACGATAAGCATGAGGATATATATATCCTTTGAATCAATATGACTCCTGGCACCTGCCTGGAATAATGCCTGAGGTTTTCTTGGCAAGGTTTCTCAAAAGTGGTTTGCCATTGCTTGCTCCCTAAGGCTAAAAGTGCCTGACCCAAGATCACCCAGCTAGTTTGTGCCCAATATGACTTTAGAACTCACAGTCTCCCAGATTCCAGCCTGATGCCTTAACAAGTATACCAAACTGGTCCTCGAGCATCTGTTAAATTAGCGAGCTTAGAAAATATAAAAAATGCAAGAAACTATACCCACTGTCATTTATAAACTCAAGAAGAATTATGTATCTAACAAAAGTTACAAAGCTATGAAAATCTGTTATTTTTCCAGTTATATTGCTTACCTGCATGTTTGGTGATGAAATCTTTCTCCTTTCAAGAAGCATTTGTTTGGTGATTCTACACATTCACAAATACATTTTGTAGGGTTTAATGGCTGGTGTTTAGGGCATGTTCTTTTACACACACATTGGCACTTTTCTTCATCAAACTCTTTGTTCAGTCCACAAGAGCTAGGAAGCAGTTTATTTTTACATGTACATTGGCATGATGTTCTGTCTAGTTCTTTGTGAATTCCACAGCTAGAAGGTGTCACTCCTCCTTTGCAGACACACTGACAGGTTTCTTCATCAAGTTCCTTGTTAGACCCACAGATATCATGGTATCCTTCAGCAGTATCTGAGCATTTGAGATAAGAAAAATATGCTTCAGTCATTGCAAAAGAGTAAAACAAGTATCTGCTAATTTTTGTAACTAGTGGAAATTATTCATTTTTTCTATTTATTTCTTGATCATTGCACTTATAATTACATGATGTGGAATGAACAAATATGAATACACCGTTCCATAAAAATGAACTATAAAACTGTACAAAGATTTTGTGGGCATTTTTTTCTTTTCTATAAATTAAACTAAATAACTGACAGTAATCTTTTATCCCATATTTCTTACCAGTATCTGGTGGATAGGAGGAGAAACTGAAGTCATGTTGTGCCAGACATCTGCATAAGTGATTATTCCAAATAAGACTTTTTGGACAAGTTTTATTTGTTATTTGACACCTAAGGACAAAACATAATATCAATATATTTCAAAGCAAATTTAAGACAAGTGATAGTACATATATAACACAGGTGTTTCAGAAAACAAATAACATCTTCTAGTGCAGTGGTTCTCAACCTGTGGGTCGGGACCCCATTTGGGGTCGAACGACCATTTCACGGGGGTCGCCAATCCACGCTGTCCACCATTTTTTCCCTTTTCCCTAGCTGTCCTACTCCCTCTTATTGGTGGCCACACCCACTTGGGGGTCACCACAACATGGGGAACTGTATTATGGGGTCACGGCATTAGAAAGGTTGAGAACCACTGTTCTAGTGTATGTACATGTGGAGATTCTAGTTGGAATCTCCAACTAGAGAGGGGGGGGGTGATGTGAAGAGAGAGGCAAATTTAGAATCTCTGCACAGCAGAAAGTGGTGCAGGCCTTACCTATCCCAGAGTCCTGAAGCCTTATTTGCAGCAGAACCCTGAGGTCAATCAACCAATGGATTAGTTTGTCTTCAGAGGTTGTGGGTACCCCAACGCTGGAGGCCTTTAAGAAGAGACTGGATAGCCATTTATCTCAAATAATATAGGGCTCGAGCAGGGGGTTGGATTAGAAGACTTGCAAGTTCTCTTCTAATTTTGTTATTCTATTTCTGTTTGACTATTTTTAAATCAATACAATACAATACAATACAATCAAGAATACAATCAGTCTGGTGAGATCCTTGTAAATAGGCATTGCAACAATAAAGAAGTAACTTTGATCAACTCATGATGTAGGCCTGGTTCCTTGTGCCTGACAGTACCTTTTGTTGAAAACTATTTTCTAAGCTAGAACAAAACTTCAATAATACGTACTAGATCATGGCCCCCAATATATTTTAAGAATAAACATATATTTACATATCCTGGTTTTGATCTTTAGAACACACTAAGAATATTGATATTTTATTTATAAGTAGTTTTTTTAACAAAATAGAAAGAAATATGCAATTTCTTACTGTGCTTGTATCACTGGCAAGGAGCGTCGAATAATTGAATGAACTTGTCTGTAGACATCTAGTTTGGACATGCATCGGCAGGAAGTATGATTGGCAAAACTTATTGTTACAGGTTTGGGACCATGAGAGAGGGGCACAGTTATTTCGAACAACTACAAAGAGCAGAAAAAGAAATGTAAATCAAGACTATACTGTTATGTTTTCTTTTCCTCCTTTTTCCTTCACAAAGCTTTTCCATCAGTTAAAATGTTCAAACCTAAATGGCTTCATCAATTAAAGTCTTTTCCCCTCCACAAAATTTATACTTCTTTCTTTTAAGCAGTTATCTCAACACATTGTGAGCGAGAGGTGTAAATTCCGTGACTGAGATAACACAAGACTTTATGACTATGGGTTTTGAAAATGGACAGAAAAATAGCACTATACGTTTATGTGTGTATTTAAAATACTTATAAAATTCTTCTAAACAGCTTATAACAAAGAGATATAGTCTTCTCAAGGCAGCCTCCTAAAGGTTTTAAATAAATAGTAGGTATATGATAAATAATTGTTTATTTGTATTCATGCAACAAGTACCTAAAATGAAGTGATCACTATTTCTAAATAAATCAATAAATAAGGTAGAATTTATCAGATTTGCTTTGACCTTGAAGCATTATCAGCTATTAGATTCAAAAACATGAAATGTATTAGGAGTCTAAGTTTTATTCCTTTATGCAATTTGGGGTCAAGAAGAAACTCACATATACACTGAAGTAATTTTGGGGAGCAATACTGAAAAATGCACACTGCACATGAAATACTGTATGCTCCATACATAACTATACTACAGATAAAATTGATAATAGAAATTAAGGTGTGGTCTCTTGCATATTATAAGTCATTTTTATCATATTTGGTCTCTAATTGGAACATGATGAAATGTATCTATATTGAAAGTTCATTTCTGTTGTAAAGCAATAGTTCTAGCAGCTTGTATCACTCAATGCAATTCCTTTCTAATACATCAGCCAAAGGATTGCTTATCTCTGACTTAGAAACTTGAGTGCTATGCGTGCTACAACTGTTCCCTTTTCGTAACACAGCTGTCAGAAAGAGGAGTAAGAAAACATTTCCTCAGTTTCTTTTATAAAATAAAAGGAACCTAAATACTAAATAAATGCTGTGGTGGTTAAGGTTCTGGTCTAGAAATCAGGAGACCATGAGTTCTAGTCTCTCCTTTGGCATGAAAGCCATCTGGGTGACTTTGGGCCAATCACTCTCTCTCTCAACACAACAGGGCTCCTGTTACAATGAATGAAAACTGTATTTCATTGATACGTAATGAACTCATCTATGTGTGTGTGTGAGAGAGAGGGGGGGGGAGGAGGCTTTCAGGATAATGGTCTTAATAGCCAATATCTGAAAATAAGTTATTTTCATATACTGTTTGTGACTCCCAAATCAGGGCAATTGTTTATGATCTTAGTAAAGAATATTATTACTATGAAAATCACCCATCAAAAGCCTGATTAAATAATGCAGTCTTCATGAGAAACCAGCAACTAGTAAGACATAACTTCAGAAGCAGGGTGTTTTAAGGCATTGACTAGCTTAAAGCCCCCTTCCCTATTATTACATCATTAAGTGATGTGTGGCACATGAGGTATTGCCATTAAAAATTGTAGGAAGATTGCATGTAAATCATTCCAATGTTACAAAAAGAAGGCAAGGTCCAAATCAAGCAGATAAATAAATGTAACTAGTTATATACTACTGATTGAGGTGTGTTGTTTCATTTCATACTATTTTCTTTCTTTGTTTGATATGTGGTAAAATATTGGCAACATTTTAAAAACTGAAGATACTTTTTCTTGATATAATACACTATTTTAAAGCTACCTGCCTTGCTTAGATTTTTCTCCAAATCATGTTATAGTTTGCCAATAAATAAATGCTCTGATATTTAAATCATAGTATGATCTCAAATTTCTAATTATATATGTTTCTTTGGAATGGGGTACTTTATATATACTTTCCTGTCTTCTTATAATGTGTACCACAATGAAAATATTCTCCATCATCTGTTATTGCATCCACATGAACTAGTAATTCTGAGGTTTCTAGAATCACAAAAGTCTATTAGAAAATAGGGGAAAAGCCTTCTGAAAGAGATGCTATGATTCTCTCTGCTATCACTGTCTGCTCAGAAAGAATGAAATTCCAGGAGCAATACAATGGTTTGTCCTGATAGAAAGAATGCTGAATTTGTTTTTGTGCATGACTCAATTATTTGTTCTAAAAGAAAGCAAATTGCAACAAAAGACAAATTTTCTACCTTCTTTAAGATTGAGCAGCAGCCTACCTGAGAGACTATGGGTAGTGAAGAAATCTTGTGCAACTCAAATCATATGTAAACAGAAGAGAATATTTCTACATGTCTGGTTTTATGTGGTTTCCATATAGAAGCCACTAAAAAATACTAAACCAATCAAAATATATAGAAACAATTGAATTAGATGTACAGGAAAGCAAGTATGAAGGTCATTATTGACATATGCCTTGGCATCTCAAATACTGGCTGCAGACAATATTATATCCCAGGTAAATTAACAGGTAGAGCTGTAAACTGTTTCCATAACTGAGGCAGCAACAGAATGAAATTGTTCTATGTAATTCACTGTATCAGGGTTAAATTAGGGTTATTATAAAGGGAAAAGCTATTTCTATGCATGTAAACATTATTCATAATATATATTTTTGGAATGCACTCTTTTCTTAGAGAGTCATTACATCTTCTTAAAGGCAAAAGAACAATTATTCCTCTCATCACTAATGACATATTTTTGTTTGTGTGTTGTTTTTAAAAAGATGTTAAATCAATCCTAGGATTTAAATAGCAGAAACGATCAGTCACTGATTACTGATAAGGCCTAGTCTCACAAAATGAGTTCATAAGCTCCATGAGACTCTAGGGCCACAGGATGTCCATTCTATCCTTTCATATGCTATATTTAATCATTATATTTTCCTATTTCCACCACTTATGCAATTGATTATTGGCTATTCTGCTATTAACACAAGGCATTTTGTGTTCTAGAAAAACTTTGTTATCGTATTTTCCGGCATATAAGACGACTTTCTAAACCATGAAAATCTTCTCAAAAGTTGGGGGTCATCTTATACGACGGAAAATATGATACATCAAAGCAAGCTCCCCCGTATCCTGCGCCCCATGCTCCTCACCCCTTGGCGCGGGGATTGGCTGTCCGGATGAGAGTTTAAGAGTCCCATGCAGCCAAATAGCCTAGAAAAGTGTCCCTTCGAGAAACAGCCGGAAGGGGCGAGATTGGAGCATTGGCGGACCAATGGCGGGAGAGGAGCGCTGGCGGAGAGCCAACCGAGTAAGAATGCCCATTTTGGGTCAGCGGTGGGGGCTTCCCTTGCTGCCGAAGTGCTGGTCAGCACTCGCAGAAGGCCAGCGATTTCGCAGAAGCGTCCACCCCCCAGGCGGGGATCTTGCCCCTCCCAGTCTAGGGCGGTGGAGGGAGGCGGTGCGAGCGGGGCTTTTCCTCCCCTGGGGAAACACCCCTGCCACCAGCCTTTGCTCGGGTGGCTGGCAGGAGCAGCTGGTGGGAGCCGGCGACTGAGCAGAGGGTGCCGCTTCCTCAGGGTTGACCACATCTGGTGCCGTCGTGCTGAGCACCAGAAGCCCTGGGACCTCAATGGACGGACGCTCAGCGTTTCCTCCTCCGTGCTCGGCCGCTTCTTTGGCAACCTGCTGCCGTGGCTGGTGCTCTTGCTGCGCAGATGACAGAGCGATCCGCCCACGGTCAGGCAGGTGCCTCCACTGAAGGACTTCAGGATGCACTGCCTTTGCCAGCCCCACCCAGTGTGGGCAGCCTGGGGGGTCGGGCAAGTGGGAGTAGAGGGTGTTTTCAGATCCATTTGGAGAAAATGGATCCAAAGTCTCTACCTGTTGGACAGCTGGGCTTGGCTAGCGCTGTGACCCGCTTTCCTCCCCCCTCCCGCTATCCTTTAGTCCTCCTCATATACTGCAAAGCTTCACAAGTGCACCCCCATGCTTATTATGGGATGTTACCCAGCTACATTTGTCTTCAGCAGATCAGGAACAAGCGATGAAATATAATGAAATGCTAATGTGTTTAGGACTTACATTACTTTTATTAGAAAGTTAAAGTACCCGTATTTTCCGGCGTATAAGATGACTTGCTAAAACCATGAAAATCTTCTCAAAAGTTGGGGGTCGTCTTATACGCCCAGTTGTCTTATATGCCGGAAAATACGGTACTATTTTATTTTAAAATATTGCATTTACTTTAAATGTATGTAAGTCGAGATCTAAATATTATGCAGTCAAAACAACTTACCGTTTTGCTGACGTAACTTGCACTGATATTCATACACTGCAGCCCTTCACTATTGCAGCAACCTCCACATCTGTAGACGGACACACATGGAGGTTTAAAGAAGATGTTTGTTGTTGCTCCAGATTCTTTTCCCACATCTACACATACCTCACGTGGCATGCATTGAGTTTTTCTCCACTCATTATCAATACCTGCCAAGTTAGAAGCTTACAGTTTATAAGATAGTTCTTTTTAATAATTTAAATCAGACTCATAACCAATCTTTGATTATAAAATAATTCATGCTGAAATCCATATTTAGTCCTATTTAGGCAGACATGTTTCAGAGAATGGAACAAGTTAAGCAAGATACCAGTGACAGTTTCTGCAGGATAAAGTCTGTTTCATCTAATTATTTATAGGCATAGAGTTAAAAATGTTTATAACAATTCCTAAAATTATTTTACCCAAATAATATTTTGCCCTTCTTATAGAAGATTTGCATCAGTGAATGGTTTGTTCACATATAAAGGTAGAGAAGAAAGGAATAAATAAAGCTCACAAAAAGGCAGGGAGGAAAGGGACAATTATAGAACATACCAGGACAGGATAAGAAAGAACCTTGTATTTAAGCCCCACTCAACATTGAAAATTTTAAAATTTGACATTTTAAATAAACTGCGAGAACTTTAAATTTTCAAACTAGACATTTTCCACCAAATTTTTAAATTTTTAAATGATCTGTTAGATCAGTGGTGATGAACCTATGGCATGCGGACTGGGAGCGGCACTCAGAGCCCTCTCTGTGGGCACACGCACTGTTGCCCCAGCCTCTCCCCTTGCGGCTCCCTTCTCACCAGCAGCCTCCCTGGAGAGTCACCCTGAGCGTGATCCATACAGAGCAGCTCAGCCAAGGACATGGCAGCCGGGCAGCAGGGACAAGATTCCGCCTTCACGTCAGGTCGCACGTAGATGATGCTGCGGGGCACAGGCGGAGGGCGTGGCTACCACGGTGCCACTGGGCCACTTAGGCAATCTACTGCAGTGGGCCGTGGAGGCAGTGGGTAGCCTTGCAGCGAAGTGGGGGCAGGCGGGGAGGAAGGGGCAATTTTTGGGTACCCAGTCTCTAAAAGGTTTGCCATCACTGTGTTAGATTATCAATTTCTAAACTGGACATTTTTCTCTTTTAAAAATCTGTGGTAAAACCTTCTACATTCTTATTTTCATTTCTTCTCATTTTCATTTTTTTAATCCACTCATAGAAAAAGAAACTGATGCTATTGTGATCTGCTGTGATGTTCCATGTATACACTTATGCCTATAGAACAGGGATGTCAAACTACTGGCCCGCAGGCTGGATACGTCATCCGGAAGCTGCACTCACCCCATTACAATGGCAAAACCTCCCAATACGTTGCACGACATCATGTGACATCGCGGGTTTGATATGTCTGCTATAGAAGATCCAAACTATAAATGTACCAAATGTAAACTAATTGTGTTATTAGAAGAAAAAGTAAAAAGTTTTGAGCAGGGGTGTCAAACTGCCGGCCCATGGGCCGGATGTGTCATGCTGAAACCACACCCACCGCATTGCCAGCAATGGGAAAAAAAGTCTCAATACGTCACGACACGTCATATGACGTTGCAAGTTTGATATCCCTGGTTTAGAGGAAATTCTAACCACTCTGAAACTCAGCCTACAAAATGAGAAACCCCAAACATTGCAAGGAGAATGTACCCAAATTGAAGATAATAATGATCAAACAACTTCTAAAAGAATTGATCCCTTAGAAGAAGACAGATGGAAACATGTCATTCATAGAGAAAAACACAAACCTAGAACAAAACCCATCCAGCCCAACCCACTCTGATGCAGCCCCACTGGCGTTGAGCAATCAATTTCATAGACTGTCCCTAGAAGAAGACATGCAGACACCTAGAAAAGTGGCATCATCAAATGTCTCTAAAATAGTAGCAACATCAAGTGCTTCTGTAATAGATAGAAAAATACCCCAAAACTCCCTAGGAAAAAAAGGGAGTTGGTGATAAGAGATTCAATTCTCAATGGAACAAAATCAGCTATCTGTTGACTGTACAGTCAATCCAGAGATGTATGTTGTCTCCATGGAGCAAAAATCAAAGATGTGGCTGAGAACCTAACAAAAATAATAAAACCAACAGATTACTACCCGTTTCTACTATTACACGTAGAGACAAATGACACGAAAATGGACCTGAAAACAATATTGAGTGATTACAAACAGCTAGGCAAGAAGATCAAGTAATTAAGTGCATAAATAGTTTTTTCATCGGTACTACCAACAAAAGGTCAACATCCAATAAGAAAATGGAAAGAGGGACACATAACTAAGACAGAATATCAGCACATAGTCAGAATCTGCAAAGACGAAGTCAAGAAAGCAAAAACTCAGAATGAATAAAGACTTGCAACAAAAGTCAAAGATAATTTTAAAAAGTTTCTTTCAACATATAAATAACAAGAAACAAAATCAAGGAAACAGTTGGTCCACTAAAGAGAGAAAACAGCAAGGAAGTAACAGGCAGTAGAAAGAAAGCAAGAGCTGCTTAACTCATTCTTTGCATCAGTATTCATGCAAAAAGAAATTATAGCACAACCTATTAAAAACATATCTGAAAAAGAAGAAGCTGGCAGATGTCATCTCAGAATCACTGTACCATTTCCTGAAGCACCGGGGGAACTACCAGGGGATTGGAAAAGATGTGGTTCCCATCTTCAAAAAAGGAAAGAAAAAAAAACCAGACCCAAGAAACTACAAACCAACCAGCCTAATATCAATACCTGGGAAGATACTGGAAAAGATGATAAAAAAAACAGATTTGTGAACATCTAAAAACAAATAAAGTTATAACTAGAAGCCAATATGGGCTTGTTAAAAACAGATCATGCCAAACCAATCTTATTTCATTCTTTGACCAAGTGACTAAAATAGTAGACCAGCAAAATGCTGCAGACGTAGTATACTTAGACTTCAGTAAGGCATTCAACAAAGTACAGTAGACCACAATCTTCTTCTTGGAAAGCTAGAAAAAAGTGGAATAGACAGCATCACCATCAGATGGATTTGTGACTGGCTGACAAACTGTACTCAACTAATAATCCTTAATGGTACGTCTACATGGAGGGAAGTAAACAGTGGGGTACCACAAGATTTTATCTTAGCCCAGTACTCTTCAATATCTTCATAAACAACTCAGATGAGGGGAAGTTATCAAATTTGCAGATGATACTAAGCTGGCAGAAATAGCCAACTCCTTAGATGGATCTTGACAGACTTATACACTGGGCCCTATCTAACAAAATGAAATTCAATGTGGAGAAAAGTAAAGTGTTACACCAAAAGTACACATATAGATTGGATGAAACCAGGGTTAATAGCAGTAACTGTGAGAGGGATCTTGGAGTCTTAGTGGACAATCAATTAAATATGAGCCAACAGTGTGTGTTGGCAACCAAAAAAGGCATTAACAGAGGGATTCAATCAAGACCATGTGAGGTACCAATACCACTCTATAAAGCCTTAGTAAGACCACACCTAGAATACTGCAACCAGTTTTGGTCTACATATATAAAAAAGATGTTGAGACTCTAGAAAAAGTCCAGAGAAGAGCAACCAAGATGATTAGGGGACTGGAGACTACAACATATGAAGAACAGTTACAGAAACTGGGCATGGCTAGTCTAGCGAAGAGAAGGACCAGGGGAGACATGATAGTAGTGTTCCAATATTTGAGGAGCTTCACAGAAAGGAGCTTCACAGAAACTATTTTCCAAAGCGCCTGAAGGCCAGAGAAGGAATAACAGATGGAAACTGATCAAGGAGAGATTCAACCTAGAAATAAGGAGGAATTTTCTGACAGTGAGAACAAACAACCAATGGAACAGTTTGCCTTCAGATGTTGTGGGAGCTTCATCATTGGAAGCTTTCAAGAAGAGACTGGACTGTCATTTGTCAGAAATGGTTTTCAGTTATCTTTTGTGTTACAACCAATCTGTTGATTTGGAATGAACAGCAATCTTAGACACATTTGATGTACTGCATGGGAGGGAGGGAGAGAGAGAGGGAGGGAGGGATGGAGGAAGGGAGGAAGGAAGGAAGAAAATGAATGCTCATTGTAGTGAAGCGATTGAGTTTGATACTGATTGTATGACCATATCTCCTTGGCTTGAGCTCTAGAAAGTTTCCAAATAGTGTTCTAAAACTTCATGTAAATGTACTTTGCACAGACTAAAAAAAGAGAAAAAAAAAGAGACTAACCCAAATTGATCAAGTTAACAAAAACAGCACTAGAATGCAAGTACTTAGAGTCATGCTTATTTTCAGATAAACATTTCTTGTTTGTTACTTTTTGGAAGCCTAAAACTAGTCTACCCCCAAATCCAATTCCCATAAACTTGGTATGCAATTCTTAAATCCTCATTTTTTGATAGCTTCATTAGAAACTGGAGCGGTTAAATCTCTTGGATCAAAAAGATTATTAAACTTATTAAAGGAGAAATTGCTTGTTGACACCGGTCTAAATTCTTCTCATTTCTCATAACTATACAATCTGTCAATTGTGTGCAAAAGGAACTGGCATACTCTTTTTAGTTCTTAACTTCATTTCTCCATTTATCTTAGCTTAGATGCTCCCTACACATCTTTCTTGTACTTACCTACTTTGATTATTCTTGTCTTATAGTCCATTGATAGTCCAGTAGACAGTAGACATTCACAACATACATATTTATATTTTATCATAGTAAACTATGTTAAAAACTATTAATATTTAAATCATTAAAGCAGATGTGTTGTTCTCAGCATGTTAAATCATATATTGATATATATTACTTTCTCAGTGCTTAGAGTTTAAAACTTATTTGAAAGAACACATACATTGTTATATACAGATTTAAACAACTTGGTAGACTATACATTACTTACTTTTTAAGATCTCTGTATTATAATGTGCTGCAGCAAATTTTATTGGATTTGAATCCCCTGTTCTTCCATCAAAGTTGGATTGCTCCCTATGTGGCCAACCCCCTTTCCTCAGCTGGCATTTGAACATTTTCCAATATTCTGGATAAAGCACTGTCATGAGTTCATCCACACTTGATACTGACCGCAACTGCTCTTCCAACTCTTTATTTTCATAATTCTGGTTAAAAAAATAAGATTAAAAAAACTTCCAACTTAATGACTTGGCTTTTCAGGGTAATACTGATACATATTAATCAAATTAATGACTAAATTTACATAAAATAAAACCATTCCTTTAAGGTTTCATATTCAATGAAGGAGAAAAACATTTATATTATTACTGATATAAATTAACTGCCCTTTAAGGTATGAACACAGAACACAAGTTAATTTTAGAAAAAAGTAATAATAGTTTTTTTCTTGTATATCTCAGGCTGCAATGGTCTTTCATTTTGAAATAAAATTATAGATAGTTTTGCTCTGATGTTGAAAATTTCTTTGTGTTATTTACTGTGTATGAAATTCCAAATTATGTTATTCCAGTGGAAGGAATAACACTCACTGTAATAAAATGCATATAGTTTTTATGCCACCGTGTTTTCCTGAAAATAAGACCCAGTCTTTTTTTTTTGCCTTCCAAAAAGGCACCAGGTCTTATTTTTGGGGAGTGTCTTTTTCACAGTGTCACCTCATGGCGGCGGCACCAACAGCTCTGTCCAACCAGCCAACTTCTTCTGCGGCAAAAGGAAATGTCACTGTAGCTGAGAATGGAACTCTGGCCTGTATTTCGCTGTCACAGGCCTTTCTGCAATCGATTCCATAGCTTGGCAGAAAGGCCTCACATGCCAAAATGCAGGCTGCAGCTCCATTCTTAGCTGCAGAGGCATTTCCTTCAGCCACAGAAGAAGTGGCTGGCTGGGCAAGGCAGGTGTCAATTCATGGGAGGCTTGGCTACATCGGTAAGTGGGTGTGGGGTGTGTGGGGCAGCTCCATCCCCCCCAGCTTGATTTTTAGGTTTGTGCCTCGTCCCAAAAGTGGGTTTTATTTTTGGGGTAGGTCTTACTTTCAGGAAACACAGTATTTAGGTTTTCTTTAAATGCTACCAATGCTTAGTCTTATATTACTTCTACTTCTATATATAGACCTTGACTTACAATTGAGCCCAAAATTTTTGTTGGTAAATGAGACATTTTAAGTGAGTTTTATCCCATTTTGCAACTTTCCTTTCCACAATCATTAAATGAATCACTCGAGTTATTAAGTTGGTAACATTAAGTGAATCTGGCTTCCTCATTGACTTTGTCAGGAGGTTGCAAAAGGTAATCACATGACCCGGAACAATGTAACTATCATAAATACGAGTCAATTACCAAGTATCTGAATTTTGATCACATGACCATGGGGATGCTGCAATGGTTAGAAATGTAAAATATGATCAAAAGTCATTTTTTCAGTACTGTTGTAACTTTGGTAACTAAAGAAACTGATGTAAATTGAGGACTTCACACACACACACACATATATTATGCATAATATAAAATATGTTACTTATACATGCTCAGGAGTCCTGTTGAATGTATAAGTAACATATTACTTGTGTTTTTTTTAATCAAATATAGAAGGAAGATTGTGCAGGTGCAAAATATATTTGAAGATGAAGATGTTACTTATACATGCTCAGGAGTCCTGTTGAATGTATAAGTAACATATTACTTGTGATTTTTTTTATCAATATAGAAGGAAGATTGTGCAGGTGCAAAATATATTTGAAGATGAAGAATACCTTTACTGATTTATGCTACTTGGGTTGAAATCATTAATATTTTTATTTCACACTATTTGGAAGCAGAGGAATAAAAGGGAAATTAATTATTTCAATGCAAAAAGATTGGTGACTAGTCTATGGGCAGAAGACTAGGAAAACCCATTGGTGGATTCTCCACTTGTCATGCTGGAGATAAGTAAAGGAACTAACTGAAACTGCCCACTCTGAAATAACAGCTTCCTGCTGAGACTGGATAGTGCATATATGCAGGCAGATATAACAGTTCTCCAGGATATCAAGAACCTATTTGCTCTAGCAAAGCAAAGTCTGCCTCCACCCTCTTGAATTCTACTGAACTTACCTAGTCTGACCCAACTGCAAACTGTCAGTCTGAGAAGGTTCCTCTATTATAGGCTTGAGTAATAAGATTGCTAATTGTACTTTTCACGTATGGATCTGATTGTTCATGCTTGACAGCATGAGACATAATAGATATAATTATATTTTGAAAGCAAAAATGTTGGCTGGAACTAAACTGAACAGTAGCAATCTGTACCACAACTTTAATTATACAATAGTTATCATAATGTTCCATGTACTTAAAAATGTATATTTTCATTTATTTTGACACCATTACGTTCCAACTGCTTTGCTAGTAAATCATATAAAGCAAAAAAAACTTTATTTCAATGTAATCTTTTTAGAAAATAAAATGTTGAGGGCAGAAACACATAGTTTCATTAAATAGAAAGTACAGGTTACTTTTTAACATTTGGAAGTAATTGAAAGCATAAATATGAAATCAGATGCTGATGCCAAGTAGAGACAAGTATTCAAAGCAACAACAGAAATAAAAAAGAAACAAATCATAAAACAAGTTAATCAATAAAAGAAGACAGCTACATAAGTTTACAACACTGTAACATTTTGGTCAAAACAATCTGTAATGTTCAGAATGGTTATTTATTTTGTACAGTTATGTATCTGAAGTGTTATTATCTGCAGATGTAAACAATAATGGCAAGCAGATTAAGGCAAATGTGGATTAGAAAACTGAATTTATGTGCCTTATACAAACTAGGCAGTAGCAGGGAGAAAGCCAAGTGTCTTGATAACAGCAATTCATTCTTCTACATCTTGCATAACATGGATTTCTGAACAACTGACTTGACATTTTTGCCTTGATCTTATATGTTGTAAAACCTTTTGGCCCAAAAAGTTACTAAATGCAACAGTAATTCCACATACAAATAAAACTAAATATAGCTAAAGAGAGTGAGAGGCGGAGACTGTGCAAAACAATCATTTTATTTTTCTATGAACATTTCAAAGATAGCAAGACTCATTTGTTAGAATTTTAAAGAGCAGCAATGTGGAATTGAGCTTTCAAGTTGGGATTAATAGATTGTTACCAATAACATAAATACTATAAACATTACAACAGAGGCAAGGATTTAATCTTTTGTCTTTGTTTCAAAGACAGCTTTTCAGTGTACAAAATTATTTCCCAATAGTCACTTCTCTAATCACAGGAACAGATTCAAGTATACTGGTAGCAATATCTAATCCTAACCTTCTAACCATCTGTCCATCCATCCATCCATCCATCCATCCATCCATCCATCCATCCATCCATCCATCTCTCTTTATCTTTACAGCTAATTTAACCAAACAAAAAAGACTATTTCCTTGAGTGCCTGATCATACAGTTCAGAATAATAATTTAGAACTCTCTGATAAAATGTCTTATTAACAAATTTATATCTACACTTGTACTGAGCAGTTGATTTTTCTCATAAGAAATCAGTATTTATTTGAAGGAGAAATATCACTAGCCACTATTTCTATGGCACTTACTGCAAAATTGATAGTTAAACATCTACTTGAATTAGATTTCTGCATGACAGACAATTGTTGTCGAAAGACTAACATATCCTTATGAAGCAATTTGACACCTAAATTACAAAGTTTTGAAAAAGTTATATACCATAATTTTAGTAAACAAATAAATTTATATTCCAAATCAAACACACTTTTTTACTTTCTACTTTTCTTCAAGAATGGACATACTTGAGATTCTTAGTGTTCTAATCAATGATACTAAATGACACTTCCCTTCCTACTTAAGTCAGAAACTAAATTATTGGAAAAATTATGTTTACTATTTATTTTAGAAAGCAAACTATCTCGTTGAAACTATTGTTTGTTCTTTCAATGTGACATTTTTTCAGAGATAAGGGTGTTTGGTGATCCTGGCCAATATATTTTTTTCTATCACCTTTGCAATTGTAGTAGAACTCTCAAAATATAATTCAAAATGTGCTGCAAATTGCATAGTGGAAACTGAATTGGGCCTGGAGCAGGTATTAAATATGGCTTGTGTCCAAAGTCTAAAGTGCTTTTTGTTTTCTTTACACATTTTAGAATTAAAATGCAACACAAGAAATGGAGATAAAGATAAAGATAAAGAATCCCTTGAGTCAAACTCAATTCCTGGGGCTTTAGGAACCTGCACCCACTGTTTCCAGGATTTTTTTTTAACTCTAGGGATTCTTTAATTTACCTACATTTTAGTTAAGGTATTGTTATTAATCTCTAAAAAAAATACTAGCCAAATACAAAGCAAATCCTGTTATTCACTTTTATAAACTGTTATTAATTGTAGTTAGCCCAGATAAGAATAAGGTACATCAGTCCATATATGTGTGATACATATAATAGGAAAGCCATAGTTATGACTGAAATGCAAAATGGCCATTAATCAACCTATATGGCTACTCTACATCTACAAATTGCTGCACAGCCAGTCATGTTCCATGCTCCTAGAAAACTACTAGAAACATTGGCCAGAGCGGGGGGGGGGGGAGAGGGTGGATAGAGAAAAATCAAATTATTGGATTTTACAACTTTGTTTAAACTGTTTAAGGTGGGCCTGAAGGGAGACTTTTCGTCAATCTGGCCAAACTTGTATTACTCCTCAATCTGCTAAGAAGGAGCAGCCAGATGGCAATTATAGTCATTGAGAAAAATGCTGTCTTATACAATTATCAAAATTGCTTTTCATGTATGATCAGGAGAGTGACCACAAATCAGGAGTTTCATTATCTGAAATTAGGAAATCTTCATGTTTGTGAGTTGATTTTCAATTATGTGCTAGACTTTCAAGACTAGAACGACCAAGCTTTGATCAACTAATATTGGGAAGGACTTTCTGATAAAATAACAAAATCGGTAAATTAGTAGAACAAGACATATAAGAATTTGGAAGAACTGTTGCAGTATTTCATGTTAACCTATGGCTGACTGGAAGACTGAGGCACGGAGGAAGCCACAAAGGGAGAAAACTTTATAGCCTTTTGTCACACTCACTCCTCCCCTTTCTGTTGCCTCCTCATAGAACCATTGCAAATTAT